TCGCTGGCGTGGGGGCGGTGAGGGGGGGGGGGACTGATGAATTACTGGTGGCTCCATCCCGAGGCCAGGGAGAGGGGAGCCCGTGCTGCTTTGGGAACCGAATGTTTTCTGTGTCGGGGACGCCCCTTGATTCTGCAGGGAGAGACCGGTTGACGACTAGCTGCTACCCAGGGACTGGGGGTGGAGGAACCCACCACGAGATGTGTGGAATAAATTATTTTTTAAAGGAAGCATTTGGCCCTGACTGAATATCTGGATCAGCAAAGGCGGCCCGCCTCCCCGAGCGATTCCCCCTCCCCTCCCCCCCCCCTTCCCAATTTTCCCCCGGAGCTCGCCATCCTCCTGCCACCCTTTGGCTTTGCAGCCAGCCCCCAGCTCAGGACACAGACGGGACTGGATTTCCTCCCCGAAGGCTACATCCAGGGGGAGTACCGAGCCTCTCCAGCTAGATCACAAACACGACAGGCTACTGGCTGTGGATGCAGTTGAGGGGGAGTTTGTCCTGTGATTCCCTGACCCGTGTGGTATATCTCCAAGCAGCGTCGTCTGCAGGAAACACAGGCCAAGGGCCTAGAAGACATTGCTTATTGTGGCAGAATATGCATAACACGTACCAGTCTGGCGTGCAGTGGCATGAAGTACATTCGTTGTTGTGCAACCAGCACCAGCACCCTCTGTCTCCACAACATTTTATTCAGCTCCAGTTGAAACTCCAAACCCACTAACACTAACTCCTCACGTCCCCCTCCCCTCCAGCCCCGGGGAACCACCATCTGCTTTCTCTCTTGGAGTTTGGCTGCTCTAGGACCTCAGACAAGGAATCCCACAGCATCGGCCCTTTTGCCACGGGCTTATCTCACGTAGCGTGGCGGCCTCACGGTGCATCTGTGTTAGAGCACGTGTCAGCGTCTCCTTTCCAAGGTGGACAACAGTCCACTGTGTCGTTCATCCACTTACCCACCGACGGACATCTGAGCGGCTCTCACCGCTGGGCTGCCGTGGGTAACGCTGCTATGAACGTGGATGTACAAATATCTGGTCAAGTCTGTTCTCACTTCTTTGGGGTTTATACCTAGAGGTCGACTTGCTGGGTCATATGATGGTTCTGTTTCGTTTTTCTGAGGCGCCTTCATACTGTTTCCCTCTGCCCACCCCCATTTTACATCCCACCGTCAGCGCGCAGGCTTCTGGTCTCTGCACATCCCCACCAGCCCTTGTTTCATGGGCTTTTCTTTCTTTTTTTTTAAAAAATACGTTGAAAAAAAATTGATTTCAGAAAAGGGAGAGAGAGAGACGGCAGTGATGAGAGAGGATCATTGATCGACTGCCTCCTGCACGCCTCACACTGGGGATTGAACCTGCAACCCGGGCACGTGCCCTTGACCGGGAATCAAACCGTGACCTTCTGGTTCATAGGTCAACACTCAACCACTGAGCCATGCCGGCCGGGCAGCTTTTTCTTCTTAATAATTTCAGAAAAGGGAGAGAGAGAGACGGCAGTGATGAGAGAGGATCATTGATCGACTGCCTCCTGCACGCCTCACACTGGGGATTGAACCTGCAACCCGGGCACGTGCCCTTGACCGGGAATCAAACCCTGACCTCTTGGTTCATAGGTCAACACTCAACCACTGAGCCACGCCGGCCGGGCAGCTTTTTCTTCTCAATAGCCATCCTAAGAGGGGTAGCCATCCTAAGAGGGGTTGCCTAGAAGTAATTTTAACTCAAAAGTCACTGAGTCCTTTTCCTGGCATCTCCCCGACACCCTAGACGGGATATTACAAACCCCGTCAGCCAGTCTCCGTTCCTGGATGCCCCTGCCTGTGCCTCCCTCAACCGCCCAGCTGCTCCTGCCCGGGCTGGGCTGCCACGCCCCCTGCCTCCCGCCCAGGAAGTTCTCCACGTTTCAGTCCTTACTTTGGCATTTGTCCTGTCCCCACCCCCCCGACTCAGGGCTGCGGCATTAACTCAGGGCTCCGGCATCTACACCCAGAGGAAGAACAGGTGGGCACAAGGTGGCGGTCCCTGGCTACAGCACCTCGTGCCCAACTCTGGCTGTATCTCTCCCCCCTCTCCCTACACCTCCTTGATGAGCCAACGCTACACCAGGAGCCGGCAGGCCTGCAGGCCTGGGATCAGAGCCCAGCAGTGTACCCTCGGAGGTTCTCCCACGTCCGCCCTCCCGCTGGGCCCTCTGAGGCTGAGGAGACCGTGGGGAGGAAGGGCGTCCAAATCCGTCCTGCGCGTCACTCAACACAGGTAAGTGCTCAGCCACTCTGAGCCTCAGTGTCCTCCTCTGTGAGCAGGGTGATGTGTGTTTCCTGCGGCTGCCGCCCTAATGACCACACGCAGTGGCTTAAACACCACACATTTATTTTTCGACGGGCCTGGCGGTGAGAAGTCTAACATGGGGCGCAGGGGGCTCAAACCGGGGTGCTGGCGGGCTCGGTCCTCGCGGAGGCTCTAAGGGAAGATTCGGTTTTCTGGTTTTTTTTATTTTTCCACCTTCAGAGCTGACACTGACCCTCCCGCCTCCCTCTTTTCCTGATAGGGATCCCGTGGTTGCATTGGGCTCACCTGGTGAATCCAGAAGACACTCTCTCTCTCCAGGGCAGCTAATCAGCACCCTTAATTGCACCTGCTCCCTCCATGTCCCTTGATGTACCATGGCCTCGGGTTCTGGATAAGGAACCTTAGGCCGTTCTTCTGCCCACCCCAGGGGTTATACATCCCACGGGAGGAGGAGGAATAAGTCCCCTCTACACGTTCGCCAGTGTTTGATGACTTTGGTTGTTAGAATGTGGGTGATTTCTCACCATCTCTCAGCCTCAGTTTCCTCGCCTGGGAAATGGGACCACCCAGCGCTGGGTGGGTGGCCCAGAGGTTTCAGGGAGAGGCCCCTGTGAGTGCTGGTCTCAGTGCGGCAGGTGGCAGGGCTCAGGTGGTTGGTGCCCCGTTAGTTGCCATCTCCAGAGTGAGCCTCAGTGACAACGGCCCCTCCGGTCTCCCCTTCATGCCTCCTGCGGTGTCAGCACATCCCGGCCTGTGGCTGTGACCTTGGCAGGTTTCTGTGGGGCC